TCGAGACAGGGTTTTTTCTGCAGCTTTAGAGCCTTTCCTGGAACTAGCTCTTGTAGGCCAGGCTGACCTCAAACTCACAGAGATCCACCTGCCTCTGCCTCCCAGGTGCTGGGATTAAAGGCATGCACTACCACTGCCCAGCTGTTTGAGTTTTCTTGAAAGCCACTCAGACATTAATTTCTTTTTAAGTTCATTGACCTGTTTCTTTGTGTCTTTAACCTCCTTGAATTCCTTGAAGTTTATGATTGTTATTTTCAATTCTGTACCCCGGGGCTCAACTCATCTAGCCAATTCTCACTGGAGAGCAGGTCTGTAAGACTGACGGATTGGGGCAGGAGATAGAACCTTGATCTTCCACAGTTTTAAATTTTATTTATTTATTTTTATTTCAAGTGCATTGGTGTTTTGCCTGCATCTTTGTCTGAGTGAGGATGTCAGAGGCCCTGGAACTGGAATTAAGACAGTTGTGGGCTGCCATGTGGGTGCTAAGAATTGAACCCTGGTCCTCTGGAAGAGAGCTCTTAGCTGCTGAACCATCTCTCCAGCTCTTACTTTTCATATTTTTGTAATGAGATCCAGACAGACTTCTTTAATTAGGGTTATCTAGTCCCCGTCCCTTCTTCAGAACATCCCCTCAATTATAAAACACTTTCTCCTTTACTCTCATGTTGGGGCCCAGAAGACTATATAGTAAGTGTACAGCTGACAGATTCATAAAGGCAGGCCCACAAGTGTACAACTTCTGGGGTCACCCATTTTTGCAGAGCTGCGGGAACACTTGTCTTTTGGGAAAGTCACTGTCATATCTGTACAAATCTTCTGAAGCCATGATTCTTCCCTTTGAAACAGGATTCATTCCCAAAACACCTCAGCAGTGTAACTTCTGCTTGGGCAATGGACTGGCCGTGCTCCATTCCCCCACACCACAAGGCTTTAGGTGCTAACATTCACTCTTTGCTCTAACAGTCAGATTTACATAGAGACAATCCCACAAAATTACCTGCCTACAGACCACATGGAAATTTCTGCAGAAGACAGGAACTGAGCATGAAGGCAACATGCCCCCCACCCCTTTGCTAACAAACAAATCTGGGTGTCCCCAAAGCTGGTTATCACAAAAGAGACTAGATGAGGAGAGTGTTTGAATCCAGGATTCAGGGATGTTTAGTAACTTTATCTAATAATTTGGGATGTCAGGTTGTCAGGTACTTCCCCTTGAATGCTGGCTCTTTCCTGGGTGGTGGTACCTGTTCCGGAGTACAGGTTCTACCTGTCCTTTTTGTGATTTTGATATGCATATTATAATTGTCCTTGCCTGAGGAATTTTCCAACTATGTAAAAACCAGAAACCACATGGAGATCACCTCTTCTTCTTCTTCTTCTTCTTCTTCTTCTTCTTCTTCTTCTTCTTCTCTTCCTCCTCCTCCTCCTCCTCTTTCTCCTTGCTACTTCTTCTACTTTTCCCCCTTACTCTCCTTTTTTCTTTCCCTTATGCTTCCTCCTTACTCTTCTTCTTTTCCGTGCCCCTTCACTTCACTTTTTTCCCTTGCATGAAAAGTAAAGAACGTTCAGAGATAACGTACTTGAGTCAATCTTTTTACCCTCAGATCCTTGCCTGCCATAGACATCCAATTCTTAGCCCTGAGGGGGTACTGAAGTTGGTACTCAAGGCCCCTGATACTCTCAGTCCTAACTCTGACCCTACCCAACTGCCCCCCAAACAAACAAACAAATGTCTCAAATTCTTTTCTTTTTTAAAAGACATTACCCTGGCTATCTAGGAACTCACTCTGTAGACCAGGGTGGCCTCAAACTCACAGAGACCTGCCTGCTTCTGCTTCTTGAGTGCTGGGACTAAAGATACTCACCAGTTCTCAATAAGACTAGCTGGGCAGTGGTGGTGCATGCCTTTAATCTCAGCACTCGGGAGGCAGAGGCAGAGGCAGGCGGATCTCTGAATTTGAGGCCAGCCTGGTATAAAGAGCGAGTCCCAGGACAGCCTAAGCTACACAGAAAATGACAACCTGCACACAGGAAGACCAGTTTAGAATCTTTCAGACAGTGCTATAACTTCTTGGCAACTACACAAAACCTAACTCTACTTGTCTCTGAATTCTGTCATGACTCCTATAGAAACAAGCAACATTGTAGATGTGTATGGTCCTAGGGCCAGCTATTGGTGTTTGTGAAGACCTATTCTAGTCCTGATCTTGTGCTATTTTGCCTCCCCAGATGCCTGGTAGAGGGCCCCTACCTCCCCTGACTACATTGATTCAGTGGCCAGAAAACCCTGGACATACAAAACACAGACCAAATAAATAAATAAATAAATAAATAAATAAATAAATAAATAAATAAAAAGGCAAGGAGTAGTGTTAATAAAAGAGTTTAAATGGAGGATGTTATGGTTTAAGTAAAATCTGAGTCCCAGCACAATGTTTATGTAAATGGTTTAAGTAAAATGCTGCAGGTCCCCGAGTGGCAGCAGTAGGCAGTGGGCCATGAGACCACGCTGCAGGTCCCCAAGCAGCAGCAGCAGCAGCAGGAAGTGGGTCTGTGGGTCTCGAGATCACAGCAGGCCACAAAGGCAGCCAGGTTTCAGGCAGGGAGACCCCAAGTGGCCTGTGGGCCGTGAGGGGCATTGAGTCCCAGTCAGGGAGCCACATGGTGGGTGAGAGACTGAGATGGATAGACATGCCACAAGACCACGCTACAGGTCTCCCAAGGCAGCTGGTCCTGGGCAGGGAGCCATGTGGCATATAAGAGACAGAAACATGAATAGGCACACATGCAGAGTGAAGTTGAATATTTATTTAATGGGTTATGGAAGGGAAAGGGAGAAGGGGAAAGAACAGAGAGAGAAGCAGGGGGAGAGAGAGATGAGAGAGAGAGAGAGAGAGAAGGGGGAAGGGGAGAAGTGGGGAGAAGGGAGAGACAGAAGCTACCTCTTCAAGAGAGGGGGGAGGGAAGGACTCAAGCTGGACGCTGAAGATCAGTTTGCCTTGGTGGACAAGGGAGGGAGTGGGTGGGGCTTGTCTCTTAAATGAACAGGACAGACCATTACAAAGGAAAACAAAACTTTGGCCTCAGATGGCTATCTAACAGCAAGGACCTCCCTCCAAAGTCCACCCTCTTCCTGGAGGTAAAAGATGTAGACATCTCCGTCCCCATTCATACTTGGATCCACAAGGAGTCTTGATCCCTTTCTCTAATGATAAAATTCCTACTCAGAAATCCCAAGCCAGTCAAATACTAACCTACCCCTTGAATATCAATGCTCCTCTCCTTCAAGTGCTTGTCCTCATAAATAGTAGTCATAAAATGTTGTCTAAAATTCAGCCTGACCTAGGAAAAGACTACTGGATCTGCCTGAGAGCAAGACAAGTTACATACTTGGGACCAGACTTAACTAAAATCCCTTTAACCAAGGATTCCACTTTCAAGCCCTGCCTCCAGGCCTGGCCTGTACAAACTGTGGCTATGGCTATTGTGTGGGTCACACTTTTGAGTTTCCAACTCAAAAGTCCCTAATGGCACCTATTTTGAATGTCCCATTGGCCTCTTCTCTTGCTACCTATCAATTACCCCAGGTATTAAACTGTATATTTAATTTCAGGTCTTATAATCGTCTCTTGGGCTAACAAAAACCATCAGCTCACCCCTATGTGAACTAAAAGGGGTGACATATTACTTCTACTCCTAGGGTCATTGGACTCCAACAAGTACGACACAGTCAATTTACTCAATGAATCAAGGTTGATCTGAAACTGGCACCGAAAAATGTATAGAAAAATGCCAGACTCACTTGGACTCCCTGGCAGTCATGGTATTACAAAATATATGGGGATTAAATCTCATTACCACAGGGAAGAGGGGATCTGTGCTATGTTATCGGGTGGAATGTTGCTTATTCACGGATTTACCAGGTGGCTAAGAATGCCTGACAGCCTAAAAAAAAAAAGAATAGGATCACGAACCAGAAACTCCCTATCAGACTTGTGGGACATCAACAACTCTTTTTATTGAACCCCTTATCATGATAGATCTAATCTCCAATCCTTGTGTTCTGAAATTCCTCTCTAATTTGTTACAGCAAAGAATACATGCCATTATTTTCTCGGCTACCACTCAACTCTTCCTGAGGACTACCAACAGATCACTCAGAGTCCTGGAACCAGATGAGTTAGAAGATCCTTCAGTAGCTACTTGCTTCTTTAACAAGGTTTTAATTTACTGTGTGTGTGTGTGTGTGTGTGTGTGTGTGTGTGTGTGTGTGTGTAGGGGTTCGAGACAGGGTTTCTCTGAGAAACCCTGGCTGTCATGGAACTCTCTCTACACCAAGTTGGCTCGAACTCAGAGATCCCGCCCGCCTCTGCCATACTGGGATTAAGGTTGTGCACCACCATCGCCCAGGCTATCAAAGGAACTCCTAAGACAAAAATCTATACTCGATGATCAAATAGTTTTTCAGTTGCAATTTAGTTAATAAAGATAGAAAATAAGATGTTTCATAACTCTTATTTCATGACTTTCTTTTATCCATTTTTTAACTTTCTCGGCGAAGGAAATTCAACCTGAGACCCCGGACAGGCAAGTCGCTTTGGGAAGCGCCATACAACAATTCATCAGCGCTCTAACCTTAGAACTACAAGTCCCAGAGAAAAACGCGCTACTTTCTTTCTGAATTTAGGGCGGGAATTGGAATTGGCCGAATGTTAAAATGCAATTTTAGCGGGTTCTCATTTGTCGCAGAAACTCAAATGTTCCTCAAAGCAAGCTCGAACACAGAAGCAAGCGATTAACATTACTCCTACTGTTGACAGACCAAATCCGGCCCGAGGTCGCTATTTATCTGAAGCCGAACTTCCCGCTCCCACCCGATTCTCCCAGCAGTCTCCTTCCCGACCCTGTCATGGCGTCAGAGAACCATATCATCTTCTGATTGGCCGACGGAAGGGTGACGACGCCTGCGCATTGCGTTTCTCTGAGGGTCGTGGGCAGGCGCCATTTTGGCCCCAGAGGTGCTTCTGGGAAGTTGCGCGGGGACCTCCACTTTGCCGGCTTGTGAGGTGCGGCCCTTTCGGATAGCTGGCATCTCCGGGTCGGGGCGTCTGCGCCGGCTGCGGCCGACTTGTCCGGACCCTCGGACGAGGCCGAGGCGCTGCGCCGCCGAGGGAGGTCACTCGACCAGGAAGGACGTGACGGGGGCGGCGCGTGTCGCGGACACTCCCCGCCGAGAGCCCGCCCGCCATGGACTCGGAGTACTACAGCGGGGACCAGTCAGGTGGGTCGGGACGGGTGGACCGGGCGGCGGCTCGGCTTCGGGCCCCAGCACGGCGCGGAGAGGCCCCGGGGTAGACGGTCTCCTCCCCGTTAGACTGTACCCCGGGGGTACCGGCAGGCGGGAGCTGCGACCTCGGAGAGGAGCTGTAGGGAATTGGTCTGCCCGGCTCTCCAAGGGGTTTTCCTCAAGTTGTCACCTTTGCCTGCGAGGGAAACGGTCTGCCCTTTTAAGGGAATTGCCGGGAGTTGAACTGTTCCAGGATCCTTAAAAAACCGGTCGGTGGCGGGGACAGGGAACCTTCTAGACTCTTTACCTGTTAGGGCTTGATTAAGTTCTCCTGCAATGCCGGCTTCCCGGGAAGAACGCGCAGGAGCTTTAAGTTTACAGACGTATTTTAAAGCAAGGGACGAGTCCCGGGTACTTAGAGTGAATGCGTGCCTTCTGCACGAAGTCGGCTCCACTATGCTAGGCACATTAGATGTAAAGATGAACGAGGCGAGGCCTGGATGGGCAAAACAGCTGTCTGCTGATTTCTTTTGTACTTTGTGTATCAAAAGTACTGTAATCGATGGTTAAGTATTAAGCTGTTTTTTTGTTTGTTTTAACTTCAGTTGCTAATGACTGAACAGCGATGACAGTAGACTCATGTTATCCTGGACCTCCACTGCTGTTTTGCTTATTTTTTTTTCAAAATATGTTTTAGTTAATTGGCATTTTAAAGTTAGGGCCGGGAGGTTGTGGCGCACCCCTTTAATTCCAACACTTGGGAGGCAGAGACAGGTGGATCTCTGAGTTCAAGGGCAGCCTCGTCTATAAGAGTTAGTTCCAGGACAGGCTCTGGGATTAAAGACGTGTACCATGCTCAGCTATAAACTTTGCTCTTCAGGTGAATAGATATCTCATTAGTATGAAAGTCACCTATTTTTTTTATATATTGCTACCTTGACTTTCTTGGAGGTGACTGTTTAATTTAACTTTTATTTACTTTTTTTTTTGTTTTTTGTTTTTTTCGAGACAGGATTTCTCTGCGTAGCTTTGGAGCCTGTCCTGGAACTCGCTTTGTAGACCAGGCTGCCCTCAAACTCAGGGAGTTCCATCTGTCTCTGCCTCCCAGGTGCTGGGCTGAAAGGTGTACACTACCACCACCTGACTAATTTATTTCTTAAATTGCTAATCAAGTCATGACTTTCAGTGTCCCTAAATACCTCTCAAGCTTAATTTTATTTTGTGTTTTTAAGGTGTGGTAGGTTAGGTGACAGTTCATGTTTACTGTTCATTCTGTAAAAGTGTAGTTTATAATTAAATGAATTGTCACTATTTCTGGGCTAAATATTCCTTGTGCCCTCCATTCATAAACACTTCCTATAAACCAATTATGAATCAAAAAAGTTCCCAGTAAACAAAATAATATGTTACATAGTGCATTAGAGGGTGGTCAGTGCCATGGAAAGCTGGGCAATAAAAAGTTGGAACTATTTAGATGACTTTGACTTGGCATTTAGTAGTTTTTCTAGGCTTCATCTTTATGAAATATTTTTAATTGCTATATGTGCCAGACTACATGGTACTAGTTGTTGGTATTTATGTTTTCTTTTCTTCTTCTTTTTTTTTCCCCCAGAACATTTGCTTCATTAGCTATCCTTCAATAGTAGTAACTTTTGGCTCTTATATTCAGTTTGCTCATCTTAACTGTAGGTGGTCATTTTTAACTGTAATCATAAACATTATCACAGATATCATCCATCTTACACCCTAAGTGGGGTTTTGTTTTGTTTTAAGCAGATGATGGTGGTGCTACCCCAGTACAGGACGAGCGGGATTCGGGGTCAGATGGTGAGGAGGATGTAAATGAGCAGCACTCTGGATCCGACACTGGAAGTGGGGAACGACATTCAGAGGTACAGTGTCTTTGGGGAGGCTTTTCCTGACATTTCTATGGCACTTATTTTATTTAGAAGTTTTAGAGATTGCCACAGGCTTTCATCCCTGAAAGTTAAAGGGTGCAAATTAGTGGATTGTTTTAAGGTGAATAGAGATAGTCTGGTCACTGATCACAGGGAAAAAGTTCTGTTGGCTCAGATTTCAAATCTAGGCAGTTTTCAGCTGTGCCTGTTTATTCAGAGTATGATCTGTTTGTAGGCTTCACCACTACTAAATAATATCTGGGAAAGGCAGTAAGCATTTGCAGTCAGAAATACCACTTGAAACAGGGGAAATATAATTTATTAAAGTTTATGTCAGGAATTAGACTTGTCGTTCTGGTTTATTTATTTATTTTAACTCTTTTCTCTTTAGAGGCCTGCTAGCCAGCTCCCAAATAAATACACAGAGATTTATTTTACTTGCAAATAAATACCCAGGCTTAGTCTGACTTAATTCTACCCAGCTTTTGTTAACTTAAATTATTCCACCTACCTTTTTCCTCTGGGCTTTTCTCTTTTTCTATTTGTTTATGTTTTCTTTCCTTCTTACTCTGTGACTGGCCGTGTTGCTAGGTGACTGGCCCCTAGCATCCTCTTTCTTCCTTTTTCTCCCATTTATTCTCTGCCTGGCAGCCTAGCCTATCCTTTCTCCTACTTCACTATTGGCCATTCAGCTCTTTATTAGACAATCAGATGTTATAGGCAGACAGAGTAACACAGCTTCACAGAGTTATACAAATGCAACATAAAAGAATGTAGCACATCTTTGCAATCGTTAAACTAATATTCCACACCATAAACGAATGTAACACATCTTCAGCTAATATTCCACAACAATCTGTGGCAAGGCCTAGTATTATAACTCAAATATAATGTTTTGCTGTGTTTGTTTTGTTATTGTGTTGCTTGGGATTAAAGCCAGAGCTTTGGATCTGCTAGGAGAGTAAACACTCTACCACTGAGCTAACTTTTATTTTTTATTATGTTTATTTAGGAGTGTGGTCCGAGCATCCATGATGTGGTGGACTGAAGACATCTTGTAGGAATTAGTTCTCTCTCACCAAGTGGGATCTGAGGGTTGAATTTAAGTTGTCAGCTTTAGTGACAAATGAATGCCTTTATCCACGGAGCCATCTCCCACCAGCCCTCTTTTTATTTTTAAGGCAGACTCTTCCTAAATTGCTGAGGCTAGTCTTGAACGTTTGATTCTTCTGCTTTAGCAGCCTCCCGGGTAGCTGGGATTACAGGCATGTACAACTGTACTTACAACAAATGTAGTTTTAAAAGATGCTTTAGTAACCAAATAGTGGTGAATTTTGTATACATTTTAACATTTGTCCTATATATTTTTGAAGCTGCTTAATAAACCTCCTGGTCATATAGCATCTCTTAGTATTAACAACATAAAATTGTAACTTTCCAATAAATCAGCATGTCTTTGGTAGATATACATAGAAACAAATAGGAATGGTAAAGGTGGATGGATTTTATAAGAATTTTATGACTGACATTTTTATTACATAAACATGTAAAGTTGTCTAATTTTAAGTTGTAGATGTGTCTTCAAAATTGTATTGACTCTCATTACAGTCATGTCATTTTTCAGTTTACATGTTCACATCATTCTTGAATACACTAAACTTACTTTACTCAGCACTGAGCATGCTGTGTATCATGCTTTTTTTAAAAAGTGCTTTGGACATGCACATGACTAAAAGTCAAAATCCCATTATTGGGTTTAATTTTCCAGTAGAAAGAGACTTTAAACTATGAGTGTAATTTTAATGATTTCATAATATAGATATAACAGTACAATCATCCCTTTGTCCGTGGAAATGGATTCCAGGACTCTTTGCCTTATCCTTGCCATCAGAAACCCCAATCAGGGATGCTCCCATTGTTTATTATGAATGACACAAGGGATGGGATATAGCTCAGTGATGATGTGTGTTTTTGGCATGCATGAAACCTTGGGTTGGAGTTTCAACACCCAAAAATAACATTTAAAATGGCATGCCAGGCATGGTGGCTCATGCCTGAAATTCTAGCACTTTGGAAACAAGTAGGAGAATTGCTGCAAGTTTGAAGGCTAGTCAGTTCCCTGTCTCAAAAAAAAAGTTTTTTTAAGGTGTAGTTTTTGTGTAATAGGCACTTTGTTCTCTATACTTTCAGTCCTTGCTAGACTACTTACCATACCTAGTTCAGTTAGAATGTTCAGGAAATAATGGCAGATAAAGGCCCATTCTGGACCTAGCTACATGGTACACATCCACAAGGTATTGTTAGTTTCTTCACGTTTTCAGTGTGCACTCTGGTTTGTTGAGTGTATATTTGGTGATTCACCAACTATTGATGTTTAGACTGTCAAAGCTGCTTTTTTATTTTACCACACCAGGCTACTGAACTTTCTTGCTGCCCCTTGATTATACTGTTTTGAATAGTGCATTGTGACATATATTGCTTTATAAAATAATCCCACAAAATTCTGGCTCTTTGGAAATGCATAGTTTCCTAAAAACAGAGTGGTCCCAGACTACTCCTAGCTGACCCTTTTTGTTATTGTGTATGTTTGCTGTGTGTTTTGCTTACATGTATGCCTGGGCACCAACTGCATTTATGGTACCTGTAGAGCCAGAAGAGTGCATCAGATCCCTTGGCATTGGAGTTCTCAGTGAGTCAAACCCACATCCTCTGGTAGAGCAGCCAGTCCTCTTATCTGCTGAGCCCATCTCTCTAGCTTCTCTTCTAGCCATGGTCCCTGGTTCTGTCTAGCAAACTAACTGATCTATATTGTAGCCTGTGCCACAATTTTCTCAAATCTGATTGTATATGAAGTCTATTTCTTTGGGAAGTGATCAGGAGTGATTTAGTTTAATTCCATTTTTCCTCCAGTACTCTGGAACTAGTGATGGGAAAATGGTGAGTTTTTCCCTGGCTGACATCACAGCTATAGGAGCGGAGCTTTCAGCAAGAGCCAGTAGCAGCTCATTGTCATATTCTTACAAACTGGGGGAGAAAGTGACAAGAGCCCCTGTATTTTCTAAATGTTGTGCCCAAGGTATGATCTTTGATTGAGGATGGGATGGTACCTTTCCATTTAAAACTGATCTCTGCAAACATTTGACAGAAAATAAAGTGCCTCTCCCCATTCAGTGCTGGGCCTAAAACCTTCTTTTTAAGTTTGATAGCTAAGGAATGCATATTAGTAGAAGCAGTTATCAACCAATCAGAGGGATTTCCTTAGTGGTAACCACATTGTTTTGACCGCACCATGGAGTGGCTACACGTTTCTGTGAAAATAGCCTGTTTCCATCTTACTTTTTGCCTGGTTATGAGAAGCCTGGAGATTCCTGGTCATTGAGCCTCCACTCCCATTTTGAGGTGTGAATGAGGACGCAGGGTAGTTACTGCTGTTTGAAACTCTTGCATCTTGTAGATCCAGTCTTAAATGTTTTTTCTGCAAAAAAAAAAAAAAAAAAAAAACTAGGATACTTTCAAATTGTGTGCTCACTAGGAAATTTGAGTGAACTTTGTTTTTGAAACAGAGTCTCACTATATTGCTAGCCTGGGACTTGCTCTGTACACCAGGCTGTTTTCAAACCATTGAGATCTATCTGCCTCTTTCCAGATGCTAGGATCAGAGGTTTGTGCCATCACCCAGCTTAAAGATTTATTTTTTTAATTTTATGTGTATAACTCTTGTATGTTTTTTTTTTTATCACAGGTATTCAGTGCCCTTGGAGGCCAGAAGAGAGCATCAGATCTCCTGAAATTGGAATTAGACAGTTGTAAGCCACCGTGTGGGTGCTAGGAATTGAGCCCACGTCCTCTGGAAGAGCAGTAAGTGCTCTTAACCACTGACTCCCTTTGTGTAATTTTATGCAAGTATTGTTCCATGAATTCTATAAAATGTAAAATGGGTATCTAGAGAGATGGCTCAGTGATTTAGAGCATTTGTTCTTATAGAGGACACAAGTTCTATTCCCAGGACCCACATGGTGACTCACAACCGCCTATAACTCCAATTCCAGGGGATCTGATGCCCTCTTCTGGCTCTGCAGGTATCAGGCACACATGTATGGTACACACACACATGCACACATACAGAGGTAAAACACTCATGCATATAAAATGAAATAAACATAAAATTTTTTATTGGAAAATAGGTAGAGTCTCATTTTTGGTAATGTAGAACTAGAAGATGCTGTGGGAGGATATGGAAGAGGAATGACTAATTCTACTGTCAGAAGGTTGTGTTTGTCCTGTGTCCTGAAAGATTTTGTAATTAATAATTACAACTAGTAAGGTTCTGTTTAGCAGCTTTTCATGCATTTAATGTTCAGAGCAGCTCTTTAAAGTATAATTACTGTTTCTGACTATCACCTTGTAGACAGGCTTTGAGCACTAAGAATGTCTCCTCAGGTCACACAGTGTACAGTGGCAGGCTGTGGCTTCCCAGGCTGTTGTGTGACTCTAAAGTCTGTGTTCTTCTTCACTTTCACATTGCAGTGCATAAACTCTGTTCTTTCCAGAGAGAAAGATGGAAAAAAACTTCATGAGAGGAGTATTTTTGCCAAACTGTCAAGTTATGTGACTGCCAAGTTTTTATTTGTTTTGCTTTGTTTTTCCAGACAGGATTTCTCTGTGTAGCCTTGGCTGTCCTAGAACTCACTCTGTAGACCAGGATGTTTCTAAACTCAGAGATCTGCCTGTCTCTGCCTCCTAAGGGCTGAGATTAAAGGTGTATGCCACCCCTGCCGGCTGGTAAAAACTGAATTTTTAAAACATTGCAACTCTCTCTGGGAGTTTATATTAGATTGATAGAATTGTGATATTTAGTACTCTCCTTTCCCTCCCCTTCATACTCCAAATTATTGCATTACAACTGTTTTCTTTTCACTTAAAGAATGTCAGTTAAGGTTGAGAGATGGCTCAGCAATGAAAGGCTAAGGCTCATAACCGAAATGTCAGTTATT